AGAGAGAGAGAGAGAGAGAGAGAGAGAGAGAGAGAGAGAGAGAGAGAGAGAGAGACAGACAGACAGACAGACACACATGCAGCCAGGCAGACACACAGGCAGGCAGGCAGGCATGCAGACAGAGAGTGTGGGGATGCTGAAACACACGCACACACGCACGCACACACGCACAGACACACACACACACACACATGCACACACACACACACGCACACGCACACACACGTGCACAAACACACACACAGACACGCAGAGACAGACAAAGGCAGGCAGCAACTGAGCCAGATACTGAACCAGAGACAGACAGAGACAGAGACAGAGACAGAGACAGAGACAGAGACAGAGACAGAGACAGAGACAGAGACAGAGACAGAGACAGAGACAGAGATGGAGAGAGTTTGAAAATTTGCAGCACAACTTCTACTTGCATTATGGCCCGTGCGTGGGGATACAGAAGGTCACGGGCCCAAGAGACAGGTTGAGCTACAGAGACGATACACACGACTCTGGTTCCACAAGCAGAGACAAACAGACGTAGCAGTGACCGACCCTGGAGGAGATCGAAATCTTACCTTGCAGACAACTTTCTTCGGGAGCCTCCAGTGGCGCACAGGGGGGCAATCCCAAAACCTAGATGTGTATAAGAGACAGCCCTGGAGGAGATCGAAATCTTACCTTGCAGACAACTTTCTTCGGGAGCCTCCAGTGGCGCACAGGGGGGCAATCCCAAAACCTTGTTTCCACGCAGTTCAAGTTCTGGCACCAATTGCAGTTCTTCTGACGGTCACCTCCAGATGCAATTGCAAGCATAGCGAGAATGTACCTGCATTGGGAAACGGCAACGAATCAGCGAAACAGACGACCACTGAACGTGCAAGTTCACCAGAGCGCTCCATCTGATCACTGTCAAAACCACCATTTCAAAAAAGAAACAAAAACTTTGAAAAAAAACACAATTGCTATAAACAGTCTAGTTCCTGTTCCCTACACACACAACCAGCCAAACCACAATTGCCATGACGACTTCAATGTCATTCAGGCGCCCGACAAACAAGGTGTCAATATCCTTATTACCAAATCGGAGGTACTGCATGCATAGATCACCGTGCGATGTAATACTTCTCTCTAAAGTCTTTCTAACTTCTCTCTAAAGTCTGCAACTGTCGAACAAGTACCCCTGTAATGGTGTCGCCAATACTTTTCAATTGTAGCCTTTAGGTAGAAGGCGATTGTTTTCGTTTCCTTTTGTTTTGGCGAAAAGTAATCCTCGCAACATGCATTCTCCTACATGTCTGCTTTGTAGTCCAGAACGTAGGGTGAAAGGAGGGGAAGGTTCGACGCTGTTTTTCTGGTTTTGCAAATGAAAATCGCATTTTTAAATGCGATGGAGTTCGATGGGGCTGGCATCTTCGAACTCCATCGCATTTAAAAATGCGATTTTCGTTTGCAAAACCTGAAAAACAGCGTTTCGAACCTTCCCCTCCTTTGCATTTCTCAATTTCAAATTGGCAGTCCATTTTAGATGATTACAGCAATCAAGTACAGTGCGTTAGCTGATGAAGCGGAGACGTACAACTCCACAAATTGGAAGGGCCCTTGACGAAACATAATAGTAATAAGGCGATACGTGCTAGTGTGACACTGAAAAGACAGAATATAGATGGAAGGGAGAGCTTGGAGAAATTCAAATTGAGAGCAGAGCATGAAGAGAATGGGAAACTACCATCGTTCCACCACTTCCAGGGGGTAAGCGGTCAACCTCTACCGTCCTTTAGATAGCCAAGATCAATCCAGTGAAAAAAGACAGAATAGATGGAAAGGAGAGATTGGGGGATTCAAATTAGCACAGCATGAACAGAGAATAGGAAAAGAGGAGTCTGCTCACACTCACCCAAGTGCAACCACCATTGTTCCCCCAATTCGGAGTGGTCGCCGGTAAATCTCTATCCTCCTTTTGAAGCCAAGATCAATCCTTTTCTTGACCGCCACACCGCCTTCCACTTCCGTCATACATCTAGGCTCCACACGTGTCAGAACCAGCAGACTCACAAAGAAGCCAGAGATGAAGCCTCCAACGTGACCCCAATTGTCAACGTTTGGCATCAAGCCAATCACAATGTGTAATCCCGACACAACGAACAGACTATAAGCAGCAACAAGCTGCAAGACAAAAAACACCAAAACCACCCAAGGAAACAATGACAGATTTGTAAGTAGCAAAAGATAGAGGCATAGAATACAAAAAAGATAATCGGAGCCGGCTATGCAACAACCACAACTCCTTTTGATTCAACTCGATCAAATGGACTTCATTGAACTGGCGCTGCTGCCACATCGTGGCCGTCTTAAACACTCTCTCCCTCCTCTCTCCTTTTCCACTGTTCTTGTAACGAATTCACATTGTGCAAGTCCTCACAAGAATGGACAAAAATAACACCTGGAATTCAAGAATCACCTTCGAAATTTCTTTACGCCGCAATGATGCAGCTCACACTAAGCAGAGAGACAGGGGGAAGCGCTTATAAGCTGCTCGGACTTTTCTCAAGTCAGCAGTAACTTTTAGTGGATCAATCATCGTCAAGACACTGCTTAAAGCACACCAGCACATGGGCACCTGGGCCGCAGGCCTGACACCTTCTGGAAGCGTGAAACGAAAACACAACCGCTGATCCGATTTATCAACGGCAGCCCCAGAGTTTGACGTTTCGGCCTTGCTCGTTTTCTTGTGGCGACAAGTTCCGCACTGCAAGGCTGGGGCCGTGTGCTACCTTCTTCCCCCGAATACAACGTACGGTCATTATAGCTTTATTTGGGGTATCTTTCAGTCTTAATACAGCTTCAATGACCATACGTTGTATTCAGGGGAAGAAGGTAGTGGTTTAAGGAGAAAAAGGAAGGGAAAAAAAACACAATCATCAAGACACTGCTATGTTAGATAATCCGACTTCAGCCTGGATCAAGTTGAGCACACAGCAGCCTCTCTCCAAATCCCGTTCGTTCAAAACCAAAAGCAATGTTTATTAATCGTTCATAAGTTATTACCAATTTCACAAAATTAAGAAATCTATACCAAAAAGGACAGACAGGTATACTACCAGAGAAAATCTGCATGCGAGCCACGTACGCAATGCCAATCTGAGGACGTTTCCCGTTCGCTTATCAAACCTACCTTGTTGACGTACAGATCTCCATACAGAAGCATATCCACAAGCGTGCAACCAACAAGGCCCATTGTCGGGAAAGATGCCCCGACCGAGATGTTTTCCGGTACGAGAAGTATCGCCGACCAAAGGCCCCCTCCTATCGCCGAAGCCAGCCAAATGGCAACGACTGTCACTGCAAGGGGTTTTCAAAATGATTACACCAAGTCCAAACGGCAGCACTTCGAACGTTAGAACACAAAAAGGGGAGGAAAGAATGGTCGCAAAAATAAAACACATAAATTAGCACCAAATTCACACAACGGTCACAGATTACACATTTTCCTTGCCGCTCTGCAAATTGCACACACTTAAGAATTCAGATAATAAGCTGATAGTTGGAATCTGTCACTCCCATATCCACACATTGCACAGGCTTGGTGATGACATCATACGCCCAAAGATCCCGTTCATTTGCTGTCTACTGGCACCACAATCTTTCGCTGGATCGAGACTGTATGAACACGATCCGCACAAACAATTCTGCTCGTTTTTCAGATTCTCTCTTATCTTTAAAAACATTCGATGGAAATGGTTGCTCCCCGGAATGGACATGGAGCCAGGACCATAAAAGGCCTCTGTTTTTTTTGTTTTTTTTTTCAATCCAGGAAATGGTCTCATTACCACAGCATTCCATTTGTAACAACACACATCTCTTCATCACGCCCCATTCATCGGCATGGCTCACGAACACAGCACACTGAAAGTTCACCATTACCAACATAGCCTGGCCTTCTGCCAGCTCTCGATCCTTGCATTCGGATCCCTCCTTGGTCTGTTAAACAACCAGCACGTCTAACGCACCACGATTTTAGGAAACGTACGGGCTACTACAGGAGCGCCCGCGGCCGAAGTACTGGTGGTTTAAGTAAGAGTCTTCCCATGACTAGACAGCTTGAGGGAGTGGCGAGTCCAGGAGGGTACGGAAGGAGACCAAGGTTCAAAATGTAACTATATTACCAATCCCCTTCCCCACCCCCCCCCMCCMCCCMCACACACACACACACACACACACACACACACACACACACACACACACACACACACACACACACACATATGGACTTGAATTGCAGAGAGGTAGACAAGCAAACTGTCTTATTAAGATGGCATAGCAGATAAGCAGTTGGCCTCGATTGCCCATATGGACTGATTAGGAATTAAGGTGGTTGCCATCCACATTCGCTTATACGAGAGGTTGGACAGGGCGACGGCACTTACATGTCCCATACTCTCTTTCCAGATGAGCTCCCACAAAAATAAGAGTCAGCAAGTTCACCAAGATGTGGAATAGGCCGGCATGAAGTGGAATACAAGTTACAATTCTCCACTGCTCCTTTAGCACAGAGTTCTTCCTCGGATCAAGGGCACCAAATCGAACAAGTCTGTGACAGCAGGCAAGCAGAGAAGAACCGAGAGTGTGTGAGACACACACGGAATGAAGCACTCGGCGATTTCCATCGAATTGAACATTCCAGAGCAAAGAATCAAAATCGCGGCAAAACAGACATATCCCACCACAGTCCCAAACGATTTCCATCACAAGAACAGTGGGATTCTCCATGTTGCACATTGTTAAATCCTGCAGAAAACGTAAGTCCTTTGGACCTGGAGTTCTGGACTTCCAGCAGACGCACAACCCGTACAAAGTACTACAAACACTTAGCTACAATAATTAAGAATGCCAGACGTTTGGATGCAGAAAAAGCTGATTTAAAAAAATAAAAAAAGAGGTCCATGCCATCCTTGCTTATTTTTTTCTCGCTTGCAGTTCCATTGGGGATGTTGGGAATTCAGGCGAGTCGTCACCTCAATGTGTACAACGCGTTGAAATCTACTCAGTTCAGAATTGTCAGAAACATAACCATCTTTGAGAGAAAGAAAAAGCTTTTCATCAAAAATGAAACTGAAAACCATGAACATTTCATCCAACTGGCTTTGAAGGTCCCTCGACAAACCCTGAACATTGCTGCATGGTTGGGCGCATTCGAATTCTGACATCGTTTGAAGCAACCGATATAGATTCGGCACCGGCGTGGAGAGAAAAGAGAGCCTTCCCAGACATGTTACATACCAAAACAGAAAATCCATTACATCTCCAAGAAAGGAGAAAAACTTGTGTGAAGTAGTGAGAAAGAGCTAGCCCGTCTAAGCTTTGAGTCTCAGATCCACCACAAACACACTGCCAGGAACAACAATTAACAAAATCATCGTCTCAATTGTTTCCCCTCCACGCGGGGGGTCAAAGATGGGGTAGTGACTGGCATGAGACCATTCAGGCTTCAAATGATACACACCAGGCCTGTCAGTGGCCCATCCCTAGAATAAATGTGCCAGCTGAATATGCACTGCACCGACGTCTAGGTGCATTCTATCAACCTTACCCAAGGACATAGCAATCTCACGAAGGCCAGTGCGAGGTTACGTACACTCCGATGAAACTACTACCCGTAGCATTCATGGACCGCCAAAAAGCCAAAACGGAAAGGAACTTTTTTTTGTACCTGCCTTGTAAAGATCTGAGATCTGTGCCACACCCGTTTCTGCATTGCTCCTTGCCATCCGCGGTTCATGTACAACAGGGTCAGAAACCCAGGAGTAGAATATATACGAGAATATATATTAGAATATATACTAGAATATATATTAGAATAGATACTAGAATATATATTAGAATAGATACTAGAATATATATTAGAATAGATACTAGAATATATATTAGAATATATACTAGAATATATACTAGAATATATACCAGAACATATAATGTGATATATGTATTATCTATACAATCATATAATAATATATACTAGAATATATACTAGATGCTAGTGGCAAGGGTACGCCTTGAGGTACTAAAAGCTAAAAAAGGAAGCCCATACATATGTTCGAAGTTCGAAGCGGCACATATGGGCCACCTCTTCAATCTCTGTGTGGTATATAAAAATAAGCTTCTCTGGTACTGGGTCTTTTATTTTGTTTTCGTTTTTGTTTTCGAAGTGTTATGTCGTTCATGAGACTGCGGAATAGGCCACGGGCCCAAAATGCTTAATTACTAGGGCGAGAAGAGTCGAACGGAACAAGAAACCTGGATGGAGAACACCTGTTTGAAGCAGGCCACCGAAATGGTATGTCCTGAAAGAGGTTCTACCCACACGCACCCCTTGTCTTTTTTTTTTTGTCTTTTTTTGACGTTCTACTTTTGCCACGTGGGAAAATAGCGGGCCTTGGTTGGTCCTGACTTTTTCGGAGGCTGAAACGAAGTGAGGACCGCCTATCAGGTTTATCAATGGCAGTCGTCCTCGTGCCCGACCTCCGAATCCTTAGCAGTTTGGGAAAACTGCCACTTTTCCCTATTTTCCCAACACTGGCGGAGGAGTTTGGGAAAACTGCCACCTTTCCTTATTTTCCCAACACTGGCGGAGGTACTAGTGGTTTCCGTCCCACGGAAAACTTCGGCCTACAGGACATGAAGAAAAAAGGGTGGTGGCCCCCACATCCATTTGCCGATGAACAGTTTTGCCTAGCCCTACAATACCAAGCCAATCATGGGCAAGGACAAACCGGATGCAAACCACCAGTACCACCCAGTCTCTTCTTTCTGATGCACTGTTCTACACCCCCTTGAAATAGCAACTATCACAGGCAGGAAGGGCCCACTAGCCCACTAGGCATAGAGCCTATTTCTTACCGATCTGCCATTTAGACCCCTCTCTAAAATGCCGAACCGTGGAAGACGAGAACGGCGGTTGCCACCAGCCTAACAGGAAGCTGGGGGAGGCACGGATACTTCAAACCACCAGCACACCCTGGCCTGGAGACGATGCACTGCGCACCAAGCTTTTCCAAGCCTCCAGCGGCACACTTATTTCTTTTTTGGCTGGTGCCGCCAGCCCTTTTGGTCCGGTAGGCCCAAGGCGCAAATTTACTTTTTTGGAGTCCATCGATAACTACCGTCTTCCCCCGAAGACACCGCACCCTTAATTTGGTTGCATCTGGGCGGAAATATAGCTTGTATACATTCAATTTTAGGGTGCATTATGTTCGGGGGAAGACGGTAGCCAATCTTCGCAAAAGGATGGAGCCGTGTACTAGAGGTTTAAGAACCTATTCCAGACCACCTTACTAGAACTTTATACTGGAACTTTATGTTGCAGTATGCACTGTGAAAAATCCGAAAAATGTTTTTGATAAGAATAGCCACCTACCAGTTTAAACTCAGGTCTGAGCAGCCTGTGAAGAAAATAAATCGCTTTTGAAAAGTCCAGTTCATCAACAGTTGTTGTTATTTTTTCCCCCTGTCGAATCGGACATGACCTGGCGTTCATGGCCTTTTTTAGGGTGGCCTCCTCAGTCTTCAGCGGGAACCCGCCTGCTGTATCCTCTTCTGCATATGGACCTCGGTACACTACTCGCCACATGCACAAAAAACAGAAATCATGGTGGTGCATCTTTCCATGTTCTAGCAGAAGATTCATTCCCATTTTGCACATTTGGCAAGTAGTGGAGCGAGGCCCTATGATGACAGAGTCCAGCTGCACCAGCTCCACGGGCAATACCAGGAGCGGGTCTGCCAGTAGTGCTATTTGCGACAACATTTGTCAGTCGCTGCACCCACCTCACAGACAGGGTACCGCGAGGTGGTAGGCACCAAGCATGCCCAGAAGTATATCCGTGACACCGATGGGTATTGATACCCCACAACGTCCTGAATGCCAGTTGTAGGCCTTACGAGCTATGCTAGGGCCCCAACTGGGACAGCTGTATTCGACAGTAAAACATTTCAGCAATTCCAAAATATTATGGTAATCCCTACCCAAAGCATTCCTTTTCCCACCCAAGAAAGGCCAGACTCACCACCCGCCCCCCCGAACCCACCCCCCAAAAAAGAAAAAGAGAACAGGACAGTCCGCATCAGAGATGAGACTCCGATCGAGTACTTAAATCCAGGGTCTGGTCGCACTAGCACAGTAGTCATAGAGTTGGCGACAGGATGTAACACGCACTTCCGGCATTTCTTTTTTTGGAGACAACATATTTTATTGTTTTTCCCAATTTCTTTATCCAATGCCACCACCTGGTGTTTGCGCAGCCTTCTAGAGTCGCCTTTGCAGCCTTCAGAGGAAAGCCAACAACTACATCCTCTGCCACACATGAGCAGAGAGTCGAGATACACCAACCTCATAGGAAGCACCCACACAAAAAGGACTGGGAATGTATCACCAGGCCAATCTCTGCACGTCCCCCCCCCCCCCCCCCCCCTTCCCACCCTACAAAGACAGCCAACCCTGCTAATGCCAACCAGAAAGGCCAAAGGGCTACGTCTTAGCTGGTAGGTACCAAGTGTGCCCAGGCAGGTAAATGAGGCCAAGGGGAATTGAACCCACGCTGGAACCTCAGTTTATTATTACAAAAGCGCCCAGTCCCCTCCCTTCTTAATTTTTTCAAGAAAAAAAAAAAAGAACAAGAAAGATATACTGCCAAAAAAAGCCCAAAGCAAAACAGGGACAGGTCTCCGATCTGAACCAGGATATGAGCCACGCCCCTCCAGTCACCATCTTACCAACAGGCACTTATCAATGCACAGCAACAGCATTCCTGTTCCAAATGCAGATCTTGAACAAAAGTAATTTTCCCCCGTAGGTCAGTCCACAAACCAACCACACATCTAACACACCTGGAAACAAAACACTTCAGACCATTCGCCAGAGTGGAAGCCTGTTTCACAAAAAAAAGACTCGAACCTCGGTCTGTTTATCAGCAGTTCATGGCCCGTTTCACTTTCTTTCCCCCCATTTCATCTGAATGGGCTGAGAGGGAGCCGTTGAAAATTTTAAACGGAGCACAAAAGCCCGAGGGCACTCCTCTGGCAGTACCCCTCTGTAAAATTACCGCCTGATAAATGTTCAACTTGAATATGGGGGAAGATTACAGTCAGATACATGCCAGAAAATGCTACCCAGCAACCTCAAAAGGCCTGTAGGACTCTGTTGCATCAAAGTTTCCGTCTGCCAGAGGTAATCATGCGCGGCGGTGCAGCACAAATTAAACTACCACAAATCAGCAATGCCAAGGGACTTGCCTCACCATCCACGCAACAACTCTCACACTCACAAGGGTAGGCAACGGCAAGCCTGCTGAGAAAACACGCACATGCCATAAACTAGCGACCCTACGCCTCTCGCTCCACTACTCTAGACACTTGAAAAGTTTCCAGACTCCACTACTCTAGGCACTTGAAAAGTTTCTAGAGAGGTCAGAGCCAAACAACTGACGAAATTCCTGGCTTCGCTCCACTTGCTCTAAAAGGCGGGACTCAGGAAGTTTGTTGGCCCCTACTCCAGGTCTACTAAAAACAAAAGGGACTCAGGAAGTTGGAGTGCAG